GGCTGTGGTGGCTGGGAGCGGCCACTGCACTCCAGTCTGGGCGACAGAGTGAGACTCCTAGTCAAAAATTTTAAAAAAGTAATAATTATCATTATTATATAGGTTTTTAGAAGTATTAGAAGTACTTGATTTTTTTTCCCTTTTTTTTTTTTGACTCAGGGTCTCACTTTGTTGGCCATGCTGGAGTGTAGTGGCACAATCTCAGTTACCTCAACCTTGATCTGGTGGGCTCAGGTGGTCCTTCTGCCTCAACCTTCCAAGTAGCTGGAACTAAAGGCACATGCCACCACACCTGGCGAATTTTTTTATTTATTGTAGAGACAAGGTCTCGCCATGTTGCCCAAGCTGTTCTCAAACCCTTAGGTTCAGGTAATCCTCTCGCCTCCACCTCCAAAGTCCTGGGATTACAAGCCTGAGCCACTGGGTCCGGCCTGTATTTTAATTTATCATTTAAATTTATCCACAGGCTTCAGATGAAGCCACAGGAAATGACATCACTAAAGTTCAGGTCAAGAGATGTGAGACCGTGAGAGAGAAGCATGTGCCGAAACAGGAGAGGGGAACTTTACAAAAGGAAAAATCAGTCTTGACGCCTCTTCGCGAAGATGTAGCCTCTTGCAATGCTCAAGTGGCAGGGAAACCAGTGCTCACTGCTGTGCCAGGAATCACACGGCACCTGACCAAGCGGCTTTCCACTAAGTCATCCCAGAAAGTGGAGGTAGAAACCTCAGGGATTGGGGACTCAGTACTGAATGTGAAATGTGCAGCACAGACCTTGGAAAAAAGAGGTAAAGGTGAGTGTTCTACTATACTGTGTCTTGCTTTGGGATATCCAAATTTTCATGTTTCAGTAACTCCCTAGCAACAGTTGGGTTGAATTTCATTTGCCTTGTATCCACAGGTGGATAGTACTATATCTGATATAATATACAAAGACAAAACTAGATAAGTTCCTTTCTCAAAATAAAAGTTGCTGCTTAAAAAACTTTGTCTAAGCCGGGCTCGGTGGCTCAGCCTGTAATCCCGCGCCTTTTGGAGGCTGAGGCGAGTGGATTGCCTGAGCCCGCGGGTTTGAGACTCGCCTGGGCAGCGAGACCTCTTCTCTACAATAAATTAAAAAATTAGCCGGGCGTGGTAGCGCGTGCCTGTAATTCCGGCTACTCAGAAGGCTGAGGCGGAAGGATCGCCGGAGCCCAGCAGGCGAGGCTGCGGTGGCAGAAAGCGGCCACTGCACTCTAGTCTGGGTGACCGAGTGAGACTCCAACTCAAAAAAAAAAAAAAAAAAAAAACTTTGTCTAAAACTTTCTGTGGTGCATCTTCTGGTTTTGAAGAATAAAAACAGGGAAAAGAAGAATAGTAACAAATTCAAGAGGTATTTAAAGGGGTCGTTTGAATGGGTATATCTACATGGTGATCACCTGTACTACAAGTTGCCTTTTTAGTCTTTTTTTAAAAACTTATTTATGGTATTTCTAGTACTAAAGGAATTTTTATGTTTTAATATATTCTGACTGTTAATTATATGTGTTCTGTCTCTTGTAGCTAAACCCAAAGTGAATGTGAAGCCATCTGTGGTTAAAGTTGTTTCATCGCCCAAATTGGCCCCAAAACGCAAGGCAGTGGAGGTGCACCCTGCTGTCATCGCAGCTGTGAAGCCACTTAGCTCCAGCAGTGTTCTACAGGAAAGCCCTGCCAAAAAAGCAGCTGTGGTAAGAAGTAGACCCACTTCCGTGGTGCTTTTGTTCTATGTGGTAGGGAAGCAGGAAAGATTAACTTAGTGCTCTATTTATATCTGTGTGTCATATTTCCTGGCATTTTCTAGTATTTTCGTTATTTGATCTGTTACATGTATTTTGCGTGTAGTTAGACATTTGTGAAGTAACAGGACAGAATTTTTTAATTTTTTATTGAATTTTATTTTTGAGACAGGGTCTTGGTCCATTACCCAGGCTGGAGTGCAGTGGCGTAACCATAGCTCACTGCAACCTCACACTCCTGGGCTCAAGCAGTCCTCTCCCTTTAGTATCCCTAGTAACAGAAACTATAAGCACATGCCACCATGCCCAGCTAATTTTTATTTATTTTTTTACTTTTTTGGAAAGATTGCATCTGTCTTGCTATGTTACACAAGCTGGTCTCTAGCTCTTGCCCTCAAATGATTCTCCCACCTTAGCCTCTGAAAGCGTGAATCACCATACCTGGCCAGGACAGGATTTTTTAAAAGCTAAAATTTGGGTGGCAAGAAATTTTGCTTATCTGTACACTCAACCCTTGGATTATTGGTTCTTGGATTCCCAGGCTTAAAGAATGATAGCCATGATTCTAGGAAGGCAGCAAAAGAAAATGAATCTGCCCAAATAAAAAAGCCTGACTCTCTTACTGGATTACCTTACTCTTTCTTTTGTAGGCTATTATCCCACTCCTCTCTGAGGACAAATCAGTCACTGTGCCTGAGGCAGAGAAACCTAGAGACAGGTAATGTTTTGTAATTCCTTCTAACTAAACTCTGGTCTACTGTTATTGTTTATGATCTCTAAAGAATAACACTGGTTAAATAATCTTAAACCATTTAGCCACATCTAAATCTACTGAACTTCAAATTAATTTCAAGAAGGCATGAAAATTCAAGGTTATTGTTCTCCTTTGGTACCATTGTTTATATTTTGCCTGTATTACCTAAAAGATGTTTTGTGGGGGTTTTTTTGAGTTAGAGTCTCACTCTGACACCCAGACTGGAATGCAGCGGCCGCTCCCGGCCACCGCAGCCTCGACCTGTTGGGCTCCGGCGATCCTTCCGCCTCAGCCTTCCAAGTAGTTGGAACTACAGGCACACACTACCACACCTGGCTACTTTTTGATTTATTGTGGAGATGAGGTCTCGCCAAGTTGCTCAGGCGGGTCTTGAACCTGCGGGCTCAGGCAATTCACTCACCTCAGCCTCCCAAAGTGCGGGATAATTATCCTTTAAATTATAAAAATGCTTGGTCCCAAATCAGTAAAATAATTTTCTGTATGTACATCCTTAGAAACAACTTTTTGCTGATATTTTGTCCCCTTGAGACCAGGTGATTCAGCCAACTGTTGAAAAAGGCAGTTTTCTAACAACTTTTTTTTCCCCTTACAGTCTTATGCTGCCTCCAGCTCAGTCCCCTTCAGATCCCTCACCCCCAGAAGTATCTGGCCCTTCTTCATCCCAAATGGCCACGAAAACTCGCCGGCTCAGCTCTGCCTCAACAGGAAAGCCCCCACTATCTGTGGAGGATGATTTTGAGAAACTCATATGGGAAATTTCAGGAGGCAAATTAGAAGCTGAGATTGACCTGGATCCTGGGAAGGATGAAGATGACCTTCTGCTTGAGCTATCAGAAATGATTGATAGCTGAAAGTGGTGGTGAGGACACTTCAAAAAAAAAAACTCACCAAAAAACTGGACTTAGTTTAATCTATTGTAACATTTACCTGAGATGATCATTCTTTAGTTTAGAATTTGCCCCAGATCGGAAGTATACCTCTGAATTATCTGTATGTGTCCTGGATTCCTTGATTTTTGTATAAGTCAATAACCATTTATCCATTTGATGCCATTGTTTAGCATCTTTGAGAAAAATGTTCTGTCATACCCTTATCTTCACAAAAAAAGAGACTGAGAGGGAGTTCCAAGTGAAAATGTGCAAGAGAACTTAGTGACTCCTTGAGGTGTTTGTCAGTTTTGGTTTGTTTCTTCTTTGTTGTACTCTTTCTTTTATGTAATGTCTGTATGTACTTAATATTACCTGAATTTGAAATGGATGAAGACAGCTGCTACCATTAAGGACCAAATTTCATGCTACCACTAAACAAAAAAAAACCCCACTCAGTCTGTGTTAAATTGTATGTCTTTTTAAAGGTATTTGCAGATTTAACTAAGCTTTAAAGAGGGCTGAGCAGCTCAGGAAGTCTATAATGTGGACATAACTCTTTGGACCTGATTTTGATCTTCTGCTGCTCTGTTAGCCTCTGAAGAGCAATATCTAATTTATTATTACTGTAATTTTTTTAAGGCTTTAAAGTGCCTCAGGGGTCCTTTGAAACTAATTTTCTATTTCTGGGATTCCTGGATTCATTATAAGAGATGGTGTCATGATTAGAGATATTCTTTGTTAGTATGAAAATTGTCCCTTCTTCAGTACTTGCCTCCTGCTGGCATTGAAATATCACAGGGACAAAGACTGATTAATTTTTTATTTCTAACTCTTTCAGCAAACTCCTATTGCCCAGTATTTATTTGGTGTCCTTTTACCACCAGAGAGAGAAAAATGAACTTGCTTAAGCTGCCAATATATGGACTGCACCAGTACAATGGATTGTACTGTAGCAGGGATATTGCGATGCTCTGGGGGTGTATTGTATACCTGCCAGTTTTCTTCGTTTCTGAATTGAATTTTCTTTTCTTGATGTTGGTCTCCTTCATATCACCTCAAGGTTTAGACTTGCGAAGGAATAAGCATGATGGGGACAATAGTCTTGAAAGGAGACATAATGTATATAATCGGAAGGAGGAGGAAGGCCAAGGACTTGTCCATTTTGATATTTTGCTGTGGGTGGCCAGTTTTGTTTCTCATAGGGAAATCTGACCCACCTGTCATGTTGGCTCCTAAGGAACTGCTGTTGTAAGCGGCTCATCAAGAGTTGAACTTCATGTAGCCTTGTTGGGAATACAGAAAGGAAGAAAGCCACAGGACTGCCCATTCAGTCTTGGGAAGATCTGGATGATTCTGCACAAACAAAAATGACTTGAAATTTATGTATAGACGCACCTCTACCAATCCATCTTCAGCTGACTGAATGTTGTATGATAGCCCTTCTCCAAAGCAGGGTGGAATGTACTGGTTTCACCACAGATTTTCTACTCATTTCATTTTTGGAATTAGCTTATCAATTCCGGGTCTCTTTTGTATATAACCTTTATTCCTTTGCTTTTTTAAGAATAATTTTGTTTCATATTTAAAGCACTTGTATTAGTCAATGGTTCGTGTTCAGCATTATTTGAACCCTTACGGAAAGAGAAATACTTATTTGTGTTTTAAATAAACTGGTGTAGGAAAGTCTTGATGTTGTGAGTTAAGTAATCTTATCATTTCAGCCTAGGATCCCACCTTGCCAAGAGGCCCCCATTAGAATGTTGTTGGCCTTTTGTGTAACTGCCCCAATTTCACAGGTATTAGTTGGCTTTAGAAACCTTTCACAAAGACATAATGATAAATTTACAAGTGTGCCCAGTTTTAGCTGCATATGCTTTAGGTAAGAATGCATATTATTATATATGGGGATTTTTTTGACACTGGAACTTAGTTCTTATAATTGTCCCTCAAGTGACGTCATGTTTTTAAAAGGTGGGAGCGTTTAAAAGTGATCATAAGCCAGGTGCGGTGGCTCACGCCTGTAATCCCAACACTTTGAGATGCAAAGGTGAAAGGATTGCCTGAGCCCAGGGTTCAAGACCACCCTGGGCAACTTGGTGAGACCTCAAAAGATTAGCCAGGCATGGTGGTGCATGCCTATATTGCCTGAGCCCAGCAGGTTGAGGCTGTGTTGGCTGTAAGCATGCCACTACACTCCAGCCTGGGCAACAGAGTGAGACTGACCAAAAAAAATAAAAGTGATCATAGCTGGATGTGGTTGCTCACCCCTGCAATCCCAGCACTTTGGGAGGACGAGGCAGGCGGATTGCTTGAGCTCAGGAGTTCGAGACCAGCCTGGGCAACTTGGAGAGAACTTACCTCTACAAAAATTACAAAGTAATTTTTAAAAGTGATTATAGACTGGGCTCCATGGCTCAGCCTGTAATCCCATCACTGGGAGGCTGAGGTGAGTGGATTGCCTGAGCCCTCGGGTTTGAGACCAGCCCAGGCAACTTGGCAAAACCTCATCTCTACAATAAAAAAATTAGCTGGGTGTGGTAGCATGCCTGTAGTTCCGACTACTTGGAAGGCTGAGGCAGAAGGATCACCGGAGCCCAGCAGGTCGACACTGGGGTGACTGTGAGTTTGCCACTGCACCCCAGCCTGGGCGACGGAGTGAGATGCCAACTCAAAAAAAAGATGATTGTAGATTTCAATGATTTAGAATGTTCAAGCATGGAGTTACAGCATATAAAAGAATTTCTTTTCTTTAATCTCACTGTTGCCCAGGCTGGAGTGCAGTGGCACACTCTGCCACTTCTGCCTCAAACTGCTGGGTTCAGGTGATCCTTCCACCTCAGTATTCCAAGTAGCTGGAACCACAGGCATGTGTCACTACATCTGGCTACTTTTTTGACATATTGTAGAGATTAGTTCTCGCCATGTTGCTCAGGCTGGTCTTGAACTCCTGAGCTCTGGCAGTCCTCTTGCCTCTGCCTCCCAAAGTGTTGGATTATAGGCGTGAGCTATTATGTACAGCCATATAAAAATTTTAATTTAGGAAAGTTCAGGTCTTTCAGTTTCCCAATTTTGTGAGAGCACATAAAATTTTTTTAGATATACCAGAGGACATAGGTTTTCCTATAAATCAACTTTTCAGAAAAAGCAAAAACAGTATATTTAGTTCTAAGTGATGGTTTACAATTTTAACAGAAAAGCGCCCAAATGTTGCAGTTTGGCTGTAGCCAGAAATGTTAAGGTCATTTTATGATTCATATATTTTATCTCAAGGTGAAGGATCCCTAAAGTTCTGACCCTAACCCTAACTCACAGTGAATCCTCTCATCCTGCCAGAACATAGTATTTTCATCTCTATCAATCTTTGAAACTACCATAGACAATTGCAAAACCTTTCCTAAGATTGTGGTTTTATTTTACCCGAATAATTCTGCAATTCTGCAATTCTTTTTTTTTTTTTTGAGTTGGAGTCTCACTCTGTCGCCCAGACTGGAGTGCAGTGGCACGCTCCCGGCCACCGCAGCCTCGACCTGCTGGGCTCCGGCGATCCTTCTGCCTCAGCCTTCCAAGTAGCTGGAACTACAGGCGTGCACTACCATGCCCAGCTAATTTTTTTATTTTATTGTAGAGATGAGGTCTCGCCAAGTTGCCCAGGCAGTTCTTGAACCCTCGGGTTTAGGCAATTCACTCACCTCAGCCTCCCAAAGGTGCGGGATTACAGGCTGAGCCACCAAACCCGGCTTCTGCAATTTTTTAAGGTATTTGATTGCTTTAAATTTCCAGTCTAGCAACAGGAAATACATTGCCTCCAGTTATAACTGCTAAATATGTAATGCTGTTTTAAACTAGTTAACTTTTATTGAGTACTTACTGAGTACCTTTAATTCACATACCCATTTTGACACTAAATCCTACACTACATTCATTGGAAGATTACTTTATTTCCCCATTGTAGTTTCAAGGTCAGTGTGTTCAAAGTATGTATTCTTATGTGCCATTGGGTTTGATTAGTTGAATTTTCAAGAGTTTTTTTTTCCTGAGAGACAATAATCTCGCTCTGTTGCCCAGGTGATGTGCAATGGTGTGATCATAGCTCACTGCAGCTCACTGCTGGCCCAAGCAATCCCACTGCCTCAGCCTCCTGAGTAGCTTGGGACTACAGGTGTGTGTCACCATGTCTGGCTAATTTTTTTTTTTGAGTTGGAGTCTCACTCGGTCGCCCAGTCTGGAGTGCAGTGGCCGCTGCCGGCCACCGCAGCCTCGACCTGCTGGGCTCCGGCGATCCTTCCGCCTCAGCCTTCCGAGTAGCCAGAATTACAGGCATATGCTACCACGCTCGGCTGATTTTTTTATTTATTGTAGAGATGAGGTCTCGCTGCCCAGGCGGGTCTCGAACCCGCAGGCTCAGGCAATCCACTCACCTCAGCCTCCCAAAGGCGTGGGATTACAGGCTGAGCCACCGAGCCCGGCTCTGGCTAATTTTTTTGAAGACAGGGTCTTCCTATGTTAGCCAGGTTTGTCTCAAACTTCTGACTTTAAGTGATCCTTCCACCTGGGCCTCCCAGAGCACTGGGATTACAGGCATGAGCCACTGGACCCAGCTTCTTTTTTTAATCTGATTTTAGGAAACTGTTCAGTAAACTTTGAAAGTTCTTACAACCCAGACATCTGACTGCATTAATAATTCATTTTTATTCATTTTTTTATAGAGACATGGTCTCACTATGTTGCCCAGACTGGTCTCAAACTCCTGAGATAAAGCAGTCCTACTGCCTCAGCCTCCCAAAGTGCTGGGATTACAGGTGTGAGCCACCATGCCTGGCCTTGCATTAATAATTAAATCTCCAAACTGCAATTTATTACTTTTGAGATAAGTGTTTTACTCAGTCACCCAAACTGGAGTGCAGTGGCACAATCATGATTCACTGCAGCCCTGAACTTCTGGGCTCAGGTGAGCCTCCCAAAGCTGGGATTACAGGAATGAGCCACCACACCTGGCTTGCAATTTATTTTGAATTTGCAAAATTGTTAATTAAGGGCATGAGCACAAAGAATACTTTCTCTTCACCATTTCCCTAGCATTGTATTATGGGCCAAAAAATGACCCTAAATAAGAGCAACAATTCAGAATTTATATATATATTTAAATATTTAAATCTAGGATTTAGATTTACTGAGTGATCTATTAACTAGACTACATTTGGTTGGACTTAACTGCTGAGGTATTGCAGAATCTGAGTCAATGGCAATAAGCAAAAAGTGAACTACAACTTGGTATGCCTGTTTCTGGGCTTTTTGGTCTTAGACTCTGATTTGTCCTCTAATAAGTTTTAAGCAACAGTCTTTAGAGTTAAGAGTAAGGGCTAAGATTCAGATTTTGAAGAACGCAGAGAAGGAATAGTGTTCAAAAAAAACCTGTTTGTTGAATGAATAACTGAGAGTAAGGGAATTGGATGGATCAAGAGCACTCGAAAGCAAGCTGGGTGCAGTGGCTCACGCCTGTAATCCCAGCACTTGGAAGCAGAAGCAACAGGATTACCTGAGTCCAGGGGTTGGAGACCAGCCTAGGCAACCTGGCGAGACCTTGTCTCTATAATAAATCAAAAAATTAGCTGGGCGTGGTGGCACGTGCCTGTAGTTCCAGCTACTTGGAAGGCTGAGGCAGAAGGATCGCCTGAGCCCAGCGAGCCACTGCACTCCAGTCTGGGTGACAGAGTGAGACTCTTACTCAAAGCAAAGCAGAAGGAGAAAATTTTTAGGGAAAGGAGAAGCAAAATGGAGGGAACTCCTACCTGATGGATATATATGGTAAATGGGGTCACTTGTTTGGGCTGGGAGCTCAAGGAGGGTAATCAAGTTTGGAAAAGCTATGAAGAAATGTGAAAGATACATACATATTAACAAAGTATTCAGACTCACCCCTTGAAGAGACTCAGAATGTTATGACTAACCCTTAAACACTACTGGCCATTATGGATAGACAAGTATACACCAAATCCCTGGCCTTGAAGTACTTAGGGAATGCTTTAAAAAGTAATCCCAGCACTTTGGGAGACTGAAGTGAGAGAATTGCTTTAGCCCAGTGGTTCGAGACCAGCCTGGGCAACTTGGCAAGACCTCATCTCTACAATAAATCAAAAAATTAGCCGGGCGTGGCAGCACGCGCCTGTAGT